GCTTGTTTACTACTTTACATTGTTGTTGATATTATACATGACGTCCTCCGCCCCAGAACGTTTCCGCCGTTCCTGGTTTTGGGGTGTGACATAAGTTGAAAACAAAAACTACAAAACGAGCCCACTTGATTATCCCTTAGCTATATGTTCAAATATTCTTCCCACTACGAACCATGGGAGCACTCTTTAGACCTCCAAACAAATTATAATGCCAATTACACACTTTTTACTAAACTCTTATTTAAATATATACATATATCGGAATAAAATAATGCTTAACACCCATCTTCAGATTTTTGGGTTTGCCTTGGAAATGGAGCGTTACGTCTGATTCTAGTGCGGGAGAAATGTAACATCTGTTTTTCAGGTAATTTCATTTTAGCGCTTAGCCTATTTTATGTTTGCATATTTGGTCCTTTGTTGTTTAAGGAATCGCAATTCAGCCCGTACGGTGGGCGTATGTGAGGTACGTGCAACATACTTGTCAGAACCCTGATCTCGAAAGCCATACTAATATGCTAGGTGTACCTGTAGTATGCTAGACATACTAGACCATCCTCTAAACCCTAATTTTAAGGTTTTGATCCGTATTTAATCCACCTAATGCCTCCCTTGGGAATTCTTATCAGCCACCTTCCCTTATAAACCCTAAACTCTAGGTGTTGCTTGCAAGCTTGTAGATCTAAAGACTACTTCACATTGTGCATCTTGTGAAGGTATAAAGTTTATACATTAATGTCTTTCCTTTTTAATCTTCATGGAGGATTTTTATGAGCTTTTTTTTCCCAAATATTGGAGCTTTGTGAGTATGGAGTACTCCATAGTGTATTAGTTCTCCTTTCATGGATTTTAAGCCTTGAAGATTCATAAAAATGGGTGCTTGATGGTCCCTTTTCTAGCCATGCAAGAGTTTAGTAGTGTTGAGCAAGGATTAAGTTACAGTTTTAAGCTTTAAGCCCTTTTCACCTTGCAAAGGATTAAATTTTTAGACTTTATATATTATGACGTTCTAAGAAGGTCAGATACGTGTTTGGATGCATGTCCTAATATTTAAGACCATTTTGGAGTAGTATTTAGGGTCAGTCAGATTATGCCCCGCGTACTAATGGCTACGCCCAATATAGCTAGGTGAGACCCCGATCCCGCCTGATTATCAAGTACACCCCGCGTAGAAAGAGAGTACCCCCAGCATACGCGGTGGGCAGTTGACTTTTGTTCAAATTTGACCTTTGGTCAAGACTTAGGGTTTTGGACCATGGGATGGGCAAAATGGTCTTTGTGCCATTAAGGGGCTTAGTGTAGGGATTGGACTGGTGAGTTGAGTTAAGGACCTTGACTATTATTTAAGGTTAATTGTTGTGTTATTAGGCGAAGTCTAGTTCCGACATTTCGAATAGTTATATTTGTGATGACCGGCTGGGTTTAATTGTTATTTTGTATTACGCAGTTTATGTGTGACTACGATTGTGGATAGTCTCCAGGGTTTCTGATAACCCATTGGGCGTGTTGTTGCCCACTGGACTGCTGATAGTCCTAGGGTTGCTAACAACCCATAGTTGTTTATTTATGTTTTGATGTATGTGGTATATTGGGGAACTTACTAAGCTTCGTGCTTACAGTTGTTGATTTATGTGTTTCAGGTACTTCTGAAGATCGCGAGAATGCGAATGTCTGATTGTACACACTCGTTGGGAGATTTGCTACTAGGGAATTCTGTAACACTCTGATATTTTATGAATGATAATTTGTATATGACACTTATGTTTTTGGATGACTTGGTTCATGAACAATATTTTGGTAATTTAAAAATGAAATTTTGGTTTAAAATTTGAGGTGTTACATTGGCCATAACATTTTTTTATTTAAAAAAATTCTTAAAAAACAGAAATTCTTAAAATTTATTTCTCTACAAAATAAGCACAATCATGAAAATTTGAATATATATAATATATATATATATATATATATATATTATATATAATATATATATATATATATATATATTATATATAATATATATATATATATATAAACAACCTATAAATTTTTTTTCACCAAAATCATAAAAATTTAAGGGATACATTTATTCGGTATACTAATGATTTTGTAAAAATACTTTTTCAAAAATAAGTTTTGGAAGTATTTAATTTTAATTTTAAGAAATATTAATTTAAAAAAATATATATATTTAACATAATATGATCCAAAATGTGACGATTCAAAATATTAATGATTTAAAAAAACTTTTGATTCAACGTGTTTATTATCTTTAATTTATTATGATTTAAAAATATTTAGACTCAAATATTTTATAATCCTTAATTATATCTTTTATGATTCAAAATTAAATGATTCAAAATATATAATGATCCATAATTTTTTTTTTGAACAAAAACTATATATAATTGAATATATTATGGATCAAAAATCATATGATTCAAAATATTACAATTCAAAATTTTATGATTCAAAAATAATATGATTCAAAAAATGTACTAGAGAAAAAAGCTATGATCTTTAATATTTTTCTTATTTAAAATTTTATAATTGTTAAACATTAAAAACTCGAACCGATATTTAGTTTAAAAGGTAAAAAGTATCAAATAATCAAACCAAAAAAATCAAAAAATAAAAGAAAAATAAATAAATATCTATATTTAACTTTTTTTTTTTAACGAAAAAAAAATAAGTAAAACAAAAATAAATGAAAATAAATAATAAAACACACTTAAATGTCGTTCCATGCACGTTCGTCGTACGTGAATAAATCCTCGAGTCAGTATTAATTACAATGGGCGTGGGTCGCAAGCGAACACACCACGACAAAGCATTTGGGTTTGATATTTGTGCCATTGACGAAATTGATGGTTGAGAATTTTTCTCACAGTCCTCACCATGTTTTGAGGACTCACCGAAACCAGACCGTATATAGGTTTGATGTTTGTGCCCTTGACGAAATGGGTGGTAGAGAATTGTCATCGTAGTCATCACCATTTTTTGAGTCCTCAATGGAGCCGGACCATATATATATATATATATATATATATATATATATATATATATATATATATATAGAGAGAGAGAGAGAGAGAGAGAGGGGAGAGATGTAAGTTATATTGAGAACACGTAAAAGGTTGAGAACGTGAGAACACTCTATTTTTGTTCATTTTCCAAAATTATGTCCTTAAAGTGTAAAAGGTTAAAATACGTTTATTCCCTTAATTTATGCAATATTAAATTAGTGTATTTCTTATTTATGCAATATTAAATTAGGGTATCTGTTACTTTTAATTAAACTGATAACACATATCCCAATTAATCATACCTACCTTCTTCATCCCCAAAATATCCATCTTACCTCCTTCATCCGTCTTATTCCCTTCTACTTTCATAAGTTACAGTATAGTTTCAATTTTTGGTTTTCTTTGATTCTCCGATGATTTGCAAGAATCTTTAAGCTAGAATTAGGGCATCCATCTACATCAGTTTACTTCACATTACCTGTCAATAATCCCGTGTTTTTTGCGATTTGATGATATGCGACGCTATATGAAGCTTGAACATTGGGATTCTTCAAGATTACTTGCGTATTGTCGTTGAAGATCATCAATATAAAAGCTTATGGAGGTCGAATTTGAAGGAGGGTATGCAGTCGGGAATTGCGCAAGAGGTAAGTTCCTTTAACGTTCAATGTTTACATTTTTTTTAATCATGTAACTCGATTTTGTATACTTTCTATACAACTTTTTATATGAGTTTGCAATGTATGCTTTTGATTTTGTCAAATGGTTCATGGAAGATTTATGACCTATTTTCTCCTTTATATGTTCACTGTTAGCTTTTTTTTAATCAAATTAATCGATTAGCAAAAGCTTGAATGATGTTACTAGCATGAAATTGTTGTTAAATTCAACTACAACTCATCAATTCAGATGAGTTTAGAATGCAGATGGTTTGATTAGGTAAATATTGCCACGGGTCTTATTAGCCCTTATCCCGTACTTATGCGTTACCTGCTAAAGTGCTTGAATTATATTGATTAACCATAGATTCCATTTACATGTAGGTTATTTCTTTTTTATTAAAATGTTTCAATTTGCATTATGTTAATTTGTGTAGTTAACAGTAAGATTAGCCTTATGTATTTGTTATCATGTATGATATTATTTTCCCTAATATCATGCTTATGTGTTACATGGTAAATCGTTTGCCCTACATTTATTCACCCTAGATTCCATATAAATCTATATTATTTATGTTTTATTCATATATGTCAATTTGCATTATGTTTGTTGGGGTAGTTAACAGTAAGATTAGACTTATAATTTTGTTATCATGTATGAACTACAATAGGACGCATGAAGAGTGGGCGTATCAAAAACAGATAATCACTAATGAAATACAAGAATGATCCCTCAAACCCAATAATAATAATAGATATCGATGTAGATGCATCTGATTCTATCAGGATTACCCCCATACCAACCATTGCTAAACCTGGAGTTATGAATCAAAGGTCAAAATCCAAACATGTTTCAACTGTCAAACCAATTCACAAAGAAGGTATTTTTTTTGAATTAGTTATCACACTAAAAAGCGTATTCTTCATGTTTTTGTATTATGCCTCACTATCAATACAAGGTCAACATTCCGGACATAGTGTTTCAGTTGAAGTGCTTCATGAAAATCAGTCACAGCATAAATTTGATCCAGATTCCAATTCCCATTCACCTGTGCATGGTTATACAAAATCAGGTAGCCCATTAACTCTGTATTTTTTTAAATTGCTAGTATAATTCATTCATCTTATGTACTGTTGTTTGACTGTTGTATTGTATTTTCCAACAAAATATACACAGATATTAGAAAAATGTTTTTTACGTCTAAAGAGAAACAGCAGCCATCACATGATGAATAAGATTTTGAAGACCCAAACCCATTCATCAGCCAAAATAAGAGGAAATCACCTCCACTTGTAATAGCCAAAGTTGTGCAACATCATGAAAAGAAAGCTAGAGCAGATGTGGCCAACCCTCAAGCAATTAAGGCAAAAAGTTAAAGTCAAGGAACTGGAGAACAGAAAATCAAAGAAGGGAATTCATGTGGGTATTCCAACACACCTAAGGCGAATACATATTCGTACGTCACCAAAAATATTATTCTCCACAATGCACGGTCTGACGAATAGAAAGAAGGAGTATTTATCATCCATCAGATTTGGTCCCCTTTTAAATATAAAAGTAGATGGGTCGGCATCACGAATTGGGTACTATGCGGTCAATAACTTTGACCCTGAACGCATGGTACTGAATGTTAAGCGGGGTGAGATACTAATCACTAGGTAATTGATACATGATATGTTGGGTCTCCCTCTAGGAAATATCAATATCAATTCATTAAAGTTCAGACCCGCTGAAGACAAAACTATTGATTTGTGGTCTGCGTAGTTCTAGTCAGAAAATGATATTAGGCCAAAAGGCGTACAAAGGGAAATTAAGAGATTAAAAGATATTGGGTTATTGTTTAAAGTCAATTTTTTGGTTCTCATTTGTAACACCCTTGGACAATCCAAGAGCATGGGCATATGTGATGTATCAATGCTTTTAAGGGTTTCTGAGGATTAAGATTTAAGCGACATAGATTGGTGTTCATATGTGTTAGAGTGTTTGAAAAATACAAAACATCCTTAATGACTTATTGACGGTACCTATCCTACAACCTAACTTACTACATTAATTCTACTTATTTATTACTGTCTTAGTCGTTTATGATTACAATATTACATCCTTAATGACTTATTGACTGCTCCTTGATCACTAATGATTTAATCATCCTTTTTTTTAACATATAAGCTTATATACCTGGAGCATGTTTCATGTAATGCGGTTACGATTGATCGTGGAAGACCTACTATATGTTTCTGGGATGTGGAGTCCATGCGCTTACGTGAGGAGTATGAAATCAGAAATGGTGGAATTGGTTCTGGTGAACTTTAGGATCCTTACATACCACACGATGACAATGCCGAAAATGTCAACTCGGTGAATGGATCAGTTGAGGTTAGAAAATTTCCGCATCATTTTTTCATACTTACCACATATAACTAATCACTCATAATGTTTTCAGGAATACCATTCCACCATTGAAAGTATGTTTAACAAGCTAGTTGATGATAGTCATTTGTTGCACTCAAAACTTGTAGATGCAATCAAAAGGCATCCTCTGGTTTGTGATTTCTACGAATGGCAAGCCAAGATCAGAATTTTCTTTAATGAAGAATCCATGAAATATGGAGTGGCAGGTCTACTCATGCAGATAGTGTCGGACCTTTATCTCAATGGTGGTTAGCCAACGCATAACAAATTAACAGGTCCTGTCAAATGGCAAAAAATTCTGTTAAATCGTTCCACAATTCACCCTTTCCAAACTGGAGCATCGGGATGACACAGGAGTTTTCTGATATCATTAGCAATTCACCACTAAAAGATATCATGAAAACTCCAAAAGACCAATGTCCAAGTGCTATTCCATTATCAATTGTTCCTATTCACAATGATTACGGTGTTGTCCGCGCAAGAGAGTTAAGGCAAAGAAATAAGCCCCTAAACTACGTTCTCCGTTCATTGTACGGGCAGTTGACATAACTAAACGTATATCACGTGCTCAGAAGGACCTATCTGAATGGGTTTTCTCAACACAAGGTCATCCAAGGTATATACAAATCTATACATAACTGATAAAACAATTTTTTTTTACAAAGATTATTTAAGTTTTCACATGTTATTCTATGCAGTGACGAACTTTTCCGGACTTGTGTTGGTGTAGCTGCTGAACGCTTTCACATGGAAAGCTTTTTCGCTAAATGTGAACTTTTTGTACACGTACTAGATTGTTGGAGCCATCTGTTAAATTTCGATGAAGCCTTGCATTCCAATTTATCTCCTTGCAGACTATTTGCCAATAACACGTTGACGGTACAATATTAATAATCATTAGCATTCATCAACTATGTCATAATATAATCTTCTTAGTTTTACACATACATGACTTCCACATTCTCACATTACGCCTTCAATTTCATCTGCATATTACACTACTCATAAACATTGTAAACAACCCCTGTAATTACATCATTTATCTTCTTCCCAGAGTTTGTATCTCGAAAATACTGTGTTGACAGAGGAAGATCGTCTAAAATTTTTTATGAAAATCTGAGCCTATCCATTGACGATTTTGATGCAACACTCCACGATGTGCAATTAGTATGCTTCTATACCCACTTTTCATATAAGCAGATTGTTTTTTATAATTTATTAGATCTTGATGTAAGCTTTAGTGAGTGCATTCAGAATACCAACATTAAATTATTTTAAATCATATTCTTGGTATTTGTTTCAGCTACACCTGCCAGTCGTCAGTGATTCTCATATTTTCCTTGTCGTACTCGACTTTCAACAACCATCCTTTTGGATCATTGAGAACATCAAAAGAGATGACGACACCCAACACATATATGGTCTTCTACCAGATATCATTGTAATATACTAATACAGATTGAAATTTTTTTATATATAAATCAATATTTTTAACATATAATCCTATATCATTTCCAGCATTTATACATGAGTCAATACTTGCGGTCTATTCGCCATCCAAACGCTGAAGCCTTTTCACATGTCCCAAGACAAATCACCCACTAACCTGGTCAACAGTAAACAATAACACTGACTGTGGTATTTTTACTATGCATCACATGGAGACGTTTATGGGTGGAAACATTATAGATTTCAAAACTGGATTCAAGTCAGAGTCGCTTGCACAGGACAACCAATTATCTAGACTACGAGTCATCTATCTTTGCAAAATCATAAATTCAGACTACAACCTGCTGAAGGATTCAATCCTTCATCAGGTAGCAGAATTCCAAAAGCTGACTGCATCTAATCGAAATCAACTATTGAATGATGTTGCAACTAGGATACATGCTAAGCTGACCAAATTTGGTTAAAGAATGTTGGGTTAATAAGAATTTTTTGTTTACCTTCTGGGAAGAATAACATGCTATTTACTTTTACTCTATTATGTAGATGGCTCAATGCAGTAAACCTGACACTATTTTGTTTTTTAATTATGTACCTCCCTTTGTCTTCATATTAGATTAAAATGTCATTTATAAATCTTACATGAATGTCTCTTGTGGTTATTGTTAATCAAAACTGTTAAGTTTTACCCTTTATATCTAGCTTCTATATTACATACCCAATTTGTTTCGACATGTTACTCGAAACTAATATCTTAATGTTTCAGACTTTGACATCACATGATACACGTGTGGTATTAATTTATATAATTTTATTTAAATACTAACAACCCCACTTAATTTTGTAATATCAATCATAAATGATGTGCCTACCTAATTTACACATCAATACATGTCACACCCCGCTAAAGCGGAAACGCAAGATATGACAGCGATAACGGTTTCATTGCAAAAGATAAAGATACATCACCATAGCAGTATTTAAAAGTTTACAACCCATAGCTTCAAAAGAAACAAAATACAAGTTTTCAAAATAACATTGTTCAAAATATAACTTCATAATAGCTTCAACACGATGCAACATGCTCTATGATGATGAATCTTTACATCCACTTACTAATTATTTCCTGAAAAAGCATGTAAAACAAGCGTCAACTATGAAAATTGTTGGTGAGTTCACAAGTTTATAAAATCGAGCGTACAACAAGGCCTTTCGTAAAAACAAGTACATTGCTTTAATGATAAACAAGTTGATTGCTATTAAGGAATACAAGTTTATTGCTATAACGAGAAACGAGTTGTATGTGTATGAGCAAACAATGAGTCTCAACCAAACCTATGACTGAAGCCCTATTGAGATCTATGCTTATCGTTCCATAGATGAATATGGTATCATGCACTCCAGCGATTCGGGCGAGTGAGGAGTTGTCAATTCCTAATAGCGCTATCCATAATGACCATTGGCTCAAAGAGTTAATGGTTAGAGATAAGGGAAGGGCCTTAGTACGATAAGTTCTCATGTTCCGTGTTGCATAAACATACATAAGGATACATAGCAATATAATAGCAATTAAGTTTGATAATAAACAATTTAAATACATCATGCAAACAATAGTTTTTCTGGACATGCTTTTCCACCCGAAAACATAGAAACTGAAAATAGGGGAGTGCGTGAATACTCACGATGTTTCGTGTAGGCACAAGCGGTACTTCGGGATGCACCAACGTCTTACTACCAGGATCTCACGACATCAAACACACACACTAGTGAGTTTTCATGTCGAAATCTAATGCTAATATACTAAACTCTACATATAGGGAAATGCCAATTTATGTTTTAGTATTGGATTTTATATCAATTAGTTACACTTTTGCTGAAATATTGAAATTTTACAAGTCGTGCGATTAATTACAACCTTGGAATATTAATTTTCCAAATTTTGAAGTCTCTAAAACAACATAAATTCACGAAAAAGAGCATTCGAGGAATAAAAATTCTCAAACTTTTTATTTAACTGATATTACACAATACAAGGCTGGGAAAAATATAAAAATGGATTTTCAAGCTGTTTAATTATATTTTATGATTTATGGGCATTTATTCCAATAAAAATTGAAATAAATAGAAAACAGTTTCCAAAATTACCCAAACTTTTTATTTAATTGTTATTATACATAACTAGGCTGAGAAAAATATAAAAGATATTTTTCAGTGGGTATTTCTATTTTTCCTTGTTTTATTCCTTTAAATAGTCATTAATTAAAGAAATAATATTAAAAAGTTAAAATAAATCACCATAAATTTTTGTAACATCATTTACAGTATAAATAACCTGGGAAAAATATCAAAAGTGGTTTTCATAATGTATAAACTGGTTTTGGGTATTTATGTGTATTTAAGTGTATTTTAGTGCAATTAACTTTAGAAAATAAGAGAAAAATAGTTTACAGTAGAGAAAAATCCTCAAAATTTTTATGTAACCTCCTACTGTATAATATGATATTCTGGTAAATTTTCATGAACTTTGGATAATCAGAACTAGTTTTCCCATTTTTAGACCATTATAATTACTAAAAATTGGGAAAAATAGCTAGACATGATTAAAAATCTTGACATTATTTTCTGGAGTCACCCATCATAGGTAAGGTATGCGAAAATTGTTAGATACAATTTTCACATCTTCTAAAGTGGGTTTGTAATTTATCATGCCCTAAACAAAATAAAATTAGAAATCATATGAAACAGTAACAAAAATTGCTGAAATTTGGTGAGGGGTCATTATTACCCATAAGGATCATCCATGAATTTATTTAGGATTTATTGACCTCTGGAAGTATTTTATATGATTTATGCACTTGGTTTTAGCAATAATTCTAATAAATCAAAGAAATAACAAAAGCTTTTGAACTTTTCCAGATTGTCTCATGCATTCAAGAGCTTTCAAAAGTAAAAATGTTAAGAATGTATTCAGAAGAGAAATGAGGGTAATGATCCCAAACAATTTAAGAAAAGTTGCATGCAATAATGCATGAAGTGTAGATGTGGCTGAAGTTCATGAATTTGTGTAGTCCATTCAGTGAGGTTTTAAGCCATGAAATTTCAACCATCATTCACTAGATATGTTAAGTTTCTAAGGTATTTTTCCTCAGATTTATGGTTGGGTTTAAGGCCATTGTTTAAGCAAGATACAAATAGTGATCACAGAAAAAGAGCTGTATGCGCAACCTTTTTGTAAAATCTGCCAAAAATCGGATATTTAATATTTTACAGTGAGACTAGTTGGGTTTGAAAGTTAACTCGTGGAACTAACCAATAAAAAAACAATATCATGATTTGGTTAATAAATGACTAAGTTATGGCCGTTCAAAGTCGAACAAAGTAATCTGGCAGTTTGCATGTTTGTTTGTGTGCATTATTAGGGTATTTCAACAAGAACATCATGCATGCCTTTGGTAAGATCCGATTTCTAACACATGCATGGAATGAATGAGCATCCAAGATGTACTAGAAATGGTTTAAATGCTTTTGTTCATGCATGAACATAAAAGAAATGGAGAAGAACATGAAATATTAGATTTTGATGTCACATGATCATATGTGCATCTTTTTCACTCCTTGCATGGATTTGATCCAGTATTTTCACCATTTCAAACACATGCATTGTGTTATGGTGAGAATCTACAAACCACAAGGGGAGAATAAAGATTTCTAGCCATGGAAAGGCATAGAATCCGAAAAGTAGAGAAGACTAAGAAGAAAAAGAACTTTAACCATGAAACTATGGAAGAAGATGTTGTTGTTTACCTTGGTTTTGACCTTAAGAGAAGTATGAACACTTCAAGGTCTTCAAAGTCTTGAAATCTGGCAGAGTAATGAGAGAAAATTCGTGAGTTTAGAGAGAAAGAGAGGAAGAGAGTGAAGTGTGTGCAGAGAGTGAAGTGACAAGAGTGAAGAGAGAAGAGGTGGAGTGTGGGTTTGAGTTTAATCATGAGTTTTGGGAAGAGAGTGCATGGGGAGAGGGGATGGCCGGCTCTTGCATGCATTTAGGCCTCCTCTCTCCTAAATTTTAAACTTTATAAACTTCCCTCCTATATTTTATATAAAAACATTCATTTTTATAAAATGTTTATTAAGCAATTTGATTTATTTAAAAGTCTTGTTTTTAACTAATAAATTATGATTAATGCATGATAATTTATATTTCTATTTCATTGGTATAATCCATAATTTGATTAATAAAATTTGATATTAGGAAGTTTATAGCCAAATTTTATAAAGTTTTTAAGCTTTAAGATTTATAAATTTGGATTTTTGGCTCTTTAGGGTTTTTGGAATATTGTTTGATATTCAACATGTTGAAGTATAATTAGAATGTTTTAATTTATTTTTAGGGTTTTATACCCTATTTCAATTATAACAAAGCTTGAAGCTTTATTCTAATTATATTATTGGCATTTCCTATTGTAGCTAAGCAACTTACTAGAATTGTAAGTATCAAGTATATTAGTCCTAGACCTTAGTTGGATCCCAGTTTATGCAAGATTTTTGACCTAATTTATACTACTAGGTCATGGCATGTTGTGCATGAATGGTTTTTATAAAGATGCATGAGTCCGAGAATGAACTGAATTGATAGTTGTCACAATACACATATACCATGCATAGCCTTTTCCTTTTTCATTTTACTCCAATAAACCATACAGACCTGTACCATTCTACAAACTAACATACAAAAACGAAACAAATCTTATATGCATCAAAACATATGATCATACATAATAGAAGTACATAATCAACACACCCATCACCATCTATGTAAATACCATGGTTGTATACAATCGACACAAACATCATATTATCATATTATCTCGAATAGATTGCACCAAAAAATTATCCGATACAAAAAACAAAATCAACAAACAAAACAAAATGTGTTATTCAATTTAAAAAAATCCAAATGCAGATGTGCAAACATAAGTCAACAAATCATTAATGATAAACAAAACCATCAGTAAACTAAAAATTATTCTAACTACAATTGGATTTCTCATGCACAATTCTTACTTTGCAAGTCCTCCAATTATGATTCACATATAAGTTGCATCCTATGCACTTTCGTGGACCACTTTTTGAAGATGCAGCTGCCCTTTCCACTGCACTAACCATCCGTTTCTTAGTCCCACCCCATTTATTATGTACCACTGGTGGGATATTAACTTCAATGTGTTCTGGAATACTAACCCCAAATAGCGTAAACACAGCTTCATCACTATCATCCAACGCAATAGTATTAACCGGATCTTGATCAAACACCCTCCTCATTGCACGTGTTGTCTTGAAAAAATATTCTAATTTTCCCTTATCATTCTGAAGACGCTCTAGACAGTACTCCATGTTACTATACGCTTCGGTTAACAATTTAAAAGTTTTATCTTCCATTTCAGCAAGCCCATTCTTATTGACCAACAAATGGCTAGAAATAATATCCCTTCTCCACCTTCGTAGAATATATTGCTCGGGTATCTCCTCAATGTGATTATTCTTCAGAACTGCAAACACACGTCGACACAAAATACCCATTCGCTTGAAGAGTTCGCATGTACAATTTATTTCCTTTTCTGGCACCTTCAGTTCCACCTACATCAAAATTTTAATTCATACTTTAGACACATTTTTTTTAAAAACATATTTATTTGTTTAGATTCATATAAACATTACTGATGCTTTTACAATCATTTGAATTTAAGGAACTAACCTTACACTTTGTTTTCACTTGTCTTCTTTTGTCCAAATGTGTAATCATTACTACCTGCCACCCGTTCATATTTTCTACACTATCAATTGAACAATTCCATGCTCCTTTGTATATCTCCTTTCGAACTTCTAGAAAATCTGTATTTGTATACACTTTTGCTACATGTTGCTCTAATCCTATGCCCATCCCAAATTTATGCCTACTTCTCTTAGTTGCATTATCAAGATGACGTTGCATGTTACATGGTTTTCCGTGACATCCCGTGTCCGTGTCATAGTTCACCATGAAATACAAAAGGAAATTCCCATGATGCAAGTACTTATTAAAGAATGAATTCGCACTTTCAGACCTGGAAGTTGTTTTCATCCGTCCATGTATTGGCATGTCCTTAAAATAAGCGGGTATCCATGAAGTCTGCCTACGATACATGTCTTTAAACCATCGTTTATAATGCAGATTGTGATCCTTCATCAATGACTTCCACGATGTTTCAAACTCAATTGGATCCATATATATATATATATATATATATATATATATATATATATATATATATATATTCCATACTAGTTTGTTGAAGCGTTTTTTGAAATCCGTGTTTTTCAAAACATCCCCACTAACATGATACACATCCATTTTAAACTTGAAATTACACATATATTTTAAAAAATAAATGTACTTTCATCAACAAAATTCAAATATCATTACATATTCACCTGATGTAATTCAATTATCATACAACATACCTTCACGTGTAGTTTTTTCGTTACATGTCATAAGCATAGTCTATGCTTGGCGTTTGGGAATATAGCCTGAACTTCCTGCAAAATCGTTGGATCCTGGTCTGTTAACACCAATGTTGGTTCTTTTCCATGAGCTTTTAAAAAAGCTCAAGCAACCAACAATAAGACTCTATTTTCTCATTACTAAGTAGGCCAGCACCAACAGTAACAGATCTTTTGTGATTATCAATAGTTGTAAAAGGGACAAATACTATTTCATACCTAAATACTAATATTTGTCATCATTAATGACATTGTACAAACAAATTAATCCAGAATACACATAAACCAAAATAAAATGCAACATAACACTTACTTATTTGTTCGAAAGGTAGCGTCAAAAGATATCACATCTCCAAACTCCTTGTAGAATACCTTATGTGTTTCATCAGCCCAGAACATAGCATTTAACACGCTATCGACACATTTATACTCGAAGGAATAATCTGGATAAAATGTTTTCCTCTCATTCATTTTATTCACTACCAATTACGCGTCCTTGTTGCCTATAATGTTACCCAATTTTTTCCTAAAATTTTTGTAATCACTCTCTTCGGGACCAACACACTCATATCCACCTTTTAACGCATCACGAAGTTTATGCGCCTTTGTTGCACCCATGTTTGCTTTTGTTGCGCGTATAATAAACTCATTGTCTGTATAATTTAATTTTCTAGTTTTTTTTTTAATGTCTGCGCTCTTCTATGGTATAAAGAGGGTGGTTGTGGAGCTCTTGAAACTCTCTAATTTGAAACTCATTTGTTCCAACACTAACACGTTCAAACTTTATCAATGCTCTACAATCCGTTATAATAAAGTTTGAATTCCTATGTTTCCTTCCACCATTATTTGTATCCATTTTATCTACGCTTCTATGAAACAACATACTTTATCTTTATTGATTTGTCATGCTGAAACCTTGTAGTTGTGTTCAACCGAACATCAAACCTAGCATGCTCTGCATATTTTCTATACATATTGATTGCGTGTGTTAGTGATTCGAATGTAACCTCATCATCAAGTCATAAATTCTTTCGCGACACAAGGTTACCACAACTTATTAGATCCACTAGGTGAATATAGAATGCTATTGTTGACAATTTCATTTTCATTAGATTCTGTACCTGATCCAAACAGTTCCAAATAACTTATATTTATATAGATAATTCTTTTTATAAACACTAACCAAATTTCATTACCATCACAATTATCAAGATTTTGACATGATTCATTATCACTCTCATTTTCATCATATGTATCTTCGTAGCCACCTTCAACTTCTTGTGTAGCGTTATCTCTTCCACCACAACAAATATATCAAATATTGACCTTATAACACTACCATTTTATAATATTATTTATTAAACATTAACAACCACTGTTGACTATCAAATTCCATGACATAAAAAAGTTGTGTTGCATAGTAAATAGCTGCACAGATTAATGATGGTCTCAACATATATTCTTCAATGATTTCAATAGTACGAATACACAAAAAATGGAATTCAAATTAATTAAATTGTATATTGAAACACTAACATTTATAAATACCCTAGTACAATCACAAATACGTTAAATCTATTGTGATTACAACCATATTCAACAATGTTTCAACATAATCCCACATAATTCCATAAACAACAATTGTGTTCAATGATGATTGAAACAATAACATTTATAAATACCCCCTCTTCCATCTGAAATACACTAAATCATTTATGATTTCATAGCTATTCATAAATGTTTCAACATAAAACCACATACTCCCCTAAAATAAGCAATGATTCACATATAACCATGAATATGCAACCTAATGGAATACAAAGCCTATTGAAATAAACATAACTGTTTTGCCTGATAACCAAGACTATGCAACAATTGATTACAACTACATTAAATCATTTGTGAGTACAACAACATTTATAGATACCCATAATTTCATAACAACTATATTAAATCATTTGTGATTTCAAACCTATTCAAACATGTTTCAATGTAAAACTACATAATTCCATAACTCAAGCAATGATTAATATATAATCAAGATTACACAAATTAACGGAATAACAAGTATATACTTGTCACTGGTAAATTATATATTTGCGTACAACACCTTATAATTGATGGGTTTTGGTCATAAGACATCCTATGTGCTCATACAAACCCTAATGTTTGGATCTAGGTTTCTCTATTGTACATGCTTTGAATCCAAGACTATAACCCCTAATTCTAGCATACAAGTAATCATATTAATATGTAATTAGGTTTAAGATCATACCTTGATTGTTATGTAGCAATAACAATCCCAATTCCACCTTGGATTGACTTTGGAATGCTTAGAGTCACAAGTGTCACTCCTCTAATGGCTCACAAACACCATAAGCAAATGGAGGAGGTATAAAGAGAGAGGAGAGAGGTTAGAATTCGTCCTTAGGACTTCTTGGGAAGAGATACACGAATTCATGACCCTAGGGGTGTTTATATAGGTGTAGAGATAGGGTTTCAGTCATTATCCTTATCTAGTTGATTATCCATTAAGCAACCAATAAGATAATCCTTGAATCCTTATCATACTCGAATTCTAAGGCTTTCCAACCTTAAATTCGTCCACCATATAAATAAGATAATCCTTACCTTATTTTGTAACTATCACATAATTACAAATCAGCCCCTCTAGTTTAATTAATTACATTTGATCACAAAATTAATTCCTAATTAATTATTGACCAATATTAATTAAACAAATATGATTTCTCCTTTAATATATTATTCTTATAACATATTAATAAATCATATTATCCTCTCTCTCTATATATTTCTCCAATCAAGTTGCTTTGGTGAAGGCAACCCAAAAGGACCATGCACCATCGGGTCAAGTACATACCAAAATAGTTATGGACTTAGACACTAATCCAACAGTCTCCCACTTGGATAAGTCTAACAACTATTCTGCGTATGACTTCAGATCCTGATATGCAATCGTAGCTTTCCAAAGCCGCTGTCAACTCTGATCATATCAGATACGCGTGTCCTTAGATAAGGGATCATATATTCCTCCATTCTAGATATCGTATGAGATATGATTTCTAATCATTCTCTTTGTACTATATCTCGATTTCCGATTTATGACGACAGACTAATTGAACAAATCAAATTAGCCCTAGCCCGACCGAGCATTTACGTATGTCATCACTAAACCATCGAGGGGCCCAAAGATATCGCTTTTATTCTTTGAATAAAAGGAACTGATAAACTTTGATACAATGCTTGCTTGCACTCACTAACCAAATCACACACAACAATATGTTTTATAACACCAAGTTACTAGTGCGTTTACATATTATCAATGTGCAACCGATTCGCAAGATACAACTCACACATCTCGGTTTCAAGAATATAAGATGTTATCGTCTCACCAATCACTCGTAATACAATTCATGGAGTGATCCAAGTGAGCGTGGGTTTAATCCAATGCTCAAATTCATATTCATAAGCACTCATGAATGTTGCAGCAAACATTTGCTTATGTCTAATGCTCTTTAGACAATCCACACACCAATTCATGACAGTCTTCATTCATATCTACTTCCAACATATGAATGACTGTGGCCCGTTCGAATAATTCGATTATTCTTAATAAACTCAATTATTCTGGAAGTCAAAACATGCAAAGTGAAACACAAGAATAATACTAATCCCATATAGCCTCAACCCTTTGAGTATAAATAAAACTCCTTTTATTTATCACCATATCCATTACTCATTATTTGTCGTTTCGGGTAATCAACTTCTTACTTGAATTCCAACACTTGTCCCATGCTCCTAGCATGCACAAAATGTTTACCTATGGTTCTTACTTTTGTGAAATAGACAAATTGAACACATTTCCAATCATTCTCATTTTACAACTCCAAATCCTTTTTCATAAGTGTAAGAATATCAAATTCTTGCTACTTATAGAATATGCTAGATTCTAACACTTTATGCAACGATCCTTTCGTAATGTCACTGCACCAAAGTCACAAAAACTATTGCCAATTATATTACAAAGTCCTCTATCGGAGATTGTTACAAGACAATTCCTTAGATATGATGTCTCTCTCTCAAAGTACATTCCTTTGAACATCCTTTTGCATAAAAGTTTCTAATCTAGACATAGATTTTCAATATTTACTTCCTAATATGAACACGCTTCCATATTTTCCTCATGACAAGCTCATTCTTAATAGAATCTTTTCTATTGTAATGATGTCGATATGGTCCATCCAATATGGAAACATTTCCATATTTTCCAATACTATACTTCCAACTACTCACAAGCGACCAATCCTCGTCGAACTTTTGATTGTCCTTTGATAGTTGTTTAATTATTTTAGTCAAAACCAATTCTAGTCCCTTTTCCCTCTAATTGCGCTAGACATTTGGAAAATTTTAGAATGGTCAAACATTAAAGCATTTGCAATCGATCCTATACCCGAAGCGTATGGGACACGACGCATAATGTTTTATTTGCTATGTTCTCAAAATTCGAATTGTGAAGAGGAATGCCATAATCATAATCAAAATTTTAAGAACACACAATGTACCTTTGACTAAATTTATTAACATTCCACAACCTAATCCTTTAGATTTGAAATGAAGCATAATATTCTCTCCCTTAATTATAGCAAAACAACTTTATAACCCTTA